GAGAGTTGAGTGTTGGGAAACACTTGTGTGATCCTTTTTCTTTGGAGTGATCTTGTGAGGTTATTCTTTTAGAGGTATTTGGGATTAATTAGAGTATGTACTCTAATTTTGTACTCTTATTGGTATAGTAAATTTGCTCATCTCCACTTGTGGACGTAGGTCACTTTGACCGAACCATGTTAAATTTGTGTCTTCTTTATATGCTTTAATTGTCGTTGTTATCAACTTGCATTGTCTTTGTTATTGTCATTATAATATTGTTTGGCTCAATTCCGCATTATCCTATTTCCCGATCCTAACAAATTGGTATCAGAGCCGGATCTAACGGGTCTATTTCAGTAGTCAATATGACTCTAACAAAGGCTTATGTTGAGAAATTTGATCAAAGTGCAAACTTCGAAATGTGACAATTAAAGATGGAAGCTATCATAATTCAGGATGACTTAGATTTTGCACTACAAGGAAAGGAGAAGAAGCCAAATAAATAGCGGACGAGGAGTTTGCCACCATTGACAAAAAGGCAAAAGCAGGTATTATTTTAAATTTCAATATTAAGGTAGAATATGTCTTAAGTTCCATCTGTATTTTTCTTTATTAGATTACGATGTTTAAATCTAAATACATACCTAATTATTAAGATATTATATAAGATTGAATGCTTCCCTAGTAATCGAATAATTTAAAGGCTAATAACTATAAAAATTCAAATAAAATAAGTAAATAACAATCACATATTATAGTTGAAAACTATTCTCTCTTTTCATTTATATTGCAAAAAAAAATTGTTTGACATAGGTGATTGGTAGTAGTGGTTAAGGCGATGGTAGCTTACGATAGATATAGCAATTGGCGGCAGCACGAGATTTGAATGAATTAGACTAAATTAGAACAATCACTAGATTATTTTAATTAAAAAAAACTTATTAAAATAAGAATGAAATGATTCAATTTCAAACCTCCGTTAAGTGGAGTCAAATTAAATCTTCTACAGACTTTGGAAAATGAAATGTTAAGTAACGAATAAACTTATTCACAACGAATGTCAACACCAAATTATAATATCTTATCATGATTACGTGATAAAATTGAAAAGTGAATATTTAATCAATTATATTTAAATAATAATAATGCATATAAGACACATATTATTTATTCGTTGTATTAATATAAACACCGGCTATAAGTAGGAGGCGTAAGGAAAAGAAAGGAGATAATGGATTTTGGCCACAAAAGCAAGTCCAATACTCAACCAATGCCGTGCTTTTTTCAAGATATTGCAGCACTGACTCACTACCAAATAGAATAACATGTGCAATGCGTGTTCAATATATGGTGGCACAAAGAACACTAACCAATAGTGTAATTATAATATAGTAGGAATAACATGTGCTGAAGATATGAAAGCACGCAGCTGTATTATGAATACTCCTATATATCATGCTAAGAATCAAAACATGATTGGTTTTACATTTTACAAGACTTCCAATTTCACCAATCTATTAATGGAAACTTTTACCAATCCCTTTGTGATACTTTAGGCGAATCCCTTTGTGAATAGATGATGGAAAATACTATATCTGTTATTGAATACCTCAATGAGTTTAAATACAAGTTACAGTCACCATCTTTGTTGAGTTCTATGTAAACCTAATAATTGATGAATCCTATCTAAATCAAAGGGATAACTCTAAATGCCTAACTATAATATCATCTTATTCTAGAAGATAAAGACAATCTAATCTAAAGAGATAATACTAAAAACAAACTGATAACTACTAGTAACAAGAACTGGTGATCCAATACGCCCCCCTCAAGTTAGGCTATGTGTCACTAAGCCTAACTTGAACAAATTGTGTTCAAAGGCTGGTTTGGCCAGTGCTTTCATGAGCATATCAGCTAGTTGGTCAGCAGAATGAACATGAACAACTCGAACCATCTTTTGTTCAACATTGTTGCGCACAAAATGAAAGTCCACCTCAATATGTTTCATGCGACTATGAAGGCCCGGATTCTCGCTTAGATAAGTGACACCAATGTTATCACAGTAAATAGTAGGGGTATCTCTGACAGGGAGTCGTATCTCAAGCAGTAGGTTTCTGACCCACAGTAGTTCGGCAAGTGCATTAGCAACAGCTCTATATTCAGCTTCAGTTGATGAGCGAACTACAGTCTTTTGCTTTTTAGAGGACCAACTGATAGGATTGCTATCAAGAAATAGAATATAACCAGATGTGGAGGATCTATCAGTGAGATCTCCAGCCTAGTCCGCATCAGAGTACATACGCAGATTGAAATCAAAATTCGGGGACACACGTAGGCCAAACTTGATCGTACCACAAAGGTACCTAAGAACTCGCTTCACAGCTTCCAATAGAGAACATATGGTGATTACATAAATTGGGATAATTTATTGACTGCATAGGAAATGTCCGACCTTGTAAATGAAAGATATTGAAGTCTGCCCAAGACTCGACGGTAGCGAGTCGCATCAGTTAACGGAGCTCCATCATTGAGTTTGAGCAACTCAGAAACACGCATCGGTGTGTTTGCGCTCTTACAATTAGCCATCAACTCATCATTCAGAATTTCATTGATATAAGTGGCTTGTGAGAGAATAATGTCATCAGCGTTTCGAACCACCTCGACACCAAGAAAATAATGGAGATTTCCCAAATCTTTAATGGAGAAGCGAGAGGCAAGAGAGGCTATAACTTCATTGACGGTGATGGAGTTGCTGCCAATTACTATTATGTCGTCAACATATACCAAAATAAACATGAAACCAGCATTACTATTTCTGATGAATAATGAGTTGTCAGATTCTGCCTTAGAAAATCCCATGTGGGCAAGATGGCCTTTGAGCGCATTATACCAAGCCCGAGGAGCTTGCTTCAGGCCATAGATTGCCTTGCGCAACTTACAAATATGAGTTGGATTATCAGCACAAGCAAAGCCCGGAGGTTGCGTCATGTACATTTCTTCTTCAAGGTCACCTTGAAGAAAAGCATTGTTGACGTCGAGTTGACGAAGGAGCCAGTGAAACCGAAGGGCAACAGCAAGTATGATTCACACAGTAGTGGATTTAACAACCGAACTAAAAGTCGAGTGAAAGTCAATGCCCGACCTCTGAGTGAATCCTTTTGCAACTAGTCTCGCCTTGTAACGATCAACTGACCCGTCTACTTTCCTTTTAATCCTGAAAAACCACTTACATGAAACAACATTCTTAGAGGGTTCATATGGAACTAGTTCCCAAGTGCGGTTTTTCAGTAAAGCATCAAATTCTAAATTCATGGCTTTCCTCCACTCAGGGTGCTTTTGGGCTTGTTTGAAGGTGCGTGGTACAAGAGATGGTTCTGAGTAGGCTAGGTAATCAAAATCTGTTTTGGCTTCTGGAAGTTGTTCTGTGAGCGGGTGACTATACGAGTTGGAGGGGTGGGTACGTGTGGTGGAGCAGGGGGAAGTGCCATTGAAGTGGTGGATTTGGGGTGTGGGGAACGACGATGGTAGACTATCATAGATGGAGTGGGTGATTTTATAGGGGGATTGGAGGTCTGGGGCCTCACAGAAGGCGTAGAGGATGGGTTTGGGCAGCAGGGATCTTGGGGAATTGGAGTTGGAGGAGGAGGAGTACACATACCTGGAGTAGAGCTCTGTGAAGGAAGGGAAACCGCATCTTCCGCTGGTGTTGCGCCGGATATGGTGGATTGAGTCGTGTTTAGTGGAGAGAGGGGAGGAGGTATCGTTGGGGGCTGGGACTCAGAGGTTACGTGGGGGCAAGTGTTTTAATGAGAGGGGGCAAATCAGAAAAAGGGGAAAGGTTGGGGGTGGATCTGGGTAGTTCAACAGTAGTTGTATTTGTCCAATCTAACTTAGTGAGTTTAATAGTAGTATTAGAGAATAAACTTTTGAAAGGAAAATTATTTTCAAGAAATTGTACATCTCTTGATAAATAAATTTTAGAAGAAATAGGATCAAAGCACTGATGACAATGATGGGACAAAGAGAACCCGAGATATACACATGGTTTAGACTTAGGTTCAAGTTTGTTTTTAGAGTACGGTTTAAGCCAGGGATAACATAAGCATCCAAAAGTCCTTAGAGATGCATAAATAATTTTTCAAACGGGGAAGAGTTATTCAAGAGTGATGTAGGTAGACGATTAATTAAATACACAGCATGGTGACATGCGAGGACCAAAATATCGGTGGAAGAGACGCCTCATGTAAAAGTATTCTTGCAGTTTCAATAATATGATGATGTCTACGCTCAGCAAGAGCAACTCGTTGAGATGTATAGGGTGGGGTGGAAAGATGTTCGATACCATGAAGCGAGAGATAAGAGTCAAGACTTTTATACTGTCCTCCACCATCAGTATAAAGCGATTGAATTTTGGTATCGAAATATTTTTTTGTTAAAGGGTGGAATTTTTGGAACAACTCCTTGACTTCGCTTTTACTTTTTAGTGTATATAAAGCCACATATATCTTGTGTATTGGTCAACAAAGATGCAATAATATAATTTTTAACAAGGGACAAAACAGGAGAGGGCCCCCACAAATCACTAAAAATAATTTGAAGCGGTTTAGAGATTTCCAAAGTTAATGTGAAACGGAAGCCGATGGGATTTATTAGACAAACAGGAATTACAATAATGAAACTTATCTCGTTCAACAAATGGTAGCGAGAATTTATTCAAGACATAATTAAGGAATCTAGAGTGTGGATGACCCAGTCTTTGATGCCATGTGGTCAGAGAGGTTGTAGTGGTAGATATGTGAGCTTGTGGATGTGAATTGGGCCACTCATACAGTCCATGTTTCTTTCGGTCGTACACCAGCGGTGTTCGCGTTTTCAGATCCTTCAACAAAAGAAAAGGGGAAAAATTCAACAGATGTTAGATTATCATGACATAGCTTGGATACAGATATAAGATTGTGTTTAATGGCTGGAGCAGATAGAGTATGATTTAGCTTAAAAACATTATTTGATGCTTGTAACTATCTAGAACCAGTATGTGAGATGGGAATTTTGTTACCATCACTCATGGAGACATCCTCGGTAACGTGGTATGGTTGTAGGTTATGCGGCTCCGTTGTGATGTGATGTGTGGTACCAGAGGCAACTATCCATGGGTTAGCAGTAGTGTTGAAGCCTGTGATGTAATTGGCTTTAGCCTCAAAGTGATTGTGTGACTTGGATCGGCAAACACTTGCAACATGGCCAAACTTGTTGCATAATTGACAACGAATAACAATAGTGGTGTTATTGTTTGGGGGATGATATTGGCTGGCATTATTGGGGCGAGCATTTTGGCGCCATGATTGAGAGTTATTGGTGTTGTTATTTGACTTGTTGTGAGTGGCAACAGCTACGGTGATAGGACCAGGGGTTTTCTTAGCTTCCTCATGCCGAAGAAAGAGCTCATGGTCAAGCATATTTTCATATAGTTCTTCATAGGTAACTATAGTATCACGTGCCCGTATGGAAGCCGAGATCACACGAAACTCAGGGCCAAGTCCACTAAGGATTTTGACTATGAGTTCGGAATTAGTGACAGGGGCATCGGCAGTAGCAAGCTCATCTGAAAGGGACCGAATACATTGAAGGTACTCGGTGATAGGAGTGGTAAATTTGGTGATTCGGCCAAGTTGATCACGAAAACTGAAGATTCGGGTCTGGGACTTGTTTGCGTAGGCAGTGTGCAAAGAGTCCCAAGCCTGTTTTGATGTGTTAGCATCGGCAACTGCGGAGGCTATGGTAGGGTCAACGGAAGCTATAAGGGCGTTTTGAATAAGTTTATCCTGACGAAACCAAAGTATGTAAGCAGGATTAGGGGTTGTGTTGGTTCCAAAAGTGGTACTCGGAATGGGGGTTGGGGTAGATCCATCAAGATGACCATAGAGGTCATGACCATGCATAAGCATGGAGAACTGAGCTTTCCAAGTAGCAAAATTGTGACTGCCACTAAGTTTGATGGGTAGTTGGGAAGCGAGGTTGAACTGAACTATGGTGATGGTACCAGGAGTGTTGTCAGCATTGACAACTCTGGTTGTGTTTCCATCTTTCGTCATTGGAGGATTTGGTGTTTGAAAAAAAAAAGATCTAGCTCGTTTGAGTAGTATAGGTTCTGATACCATATGAAGACTTGAATATATGATGGAAAATACTATATCTGTTATTGAATACCTCAATGAGTTTAAATACAAGTTACAGTCACCATCTTTGTAGAGTTCTATGTAAACCTAATAACTGATGAATCCTATCTAAATTAAAGGGATAACTCTAAATGCCTAACTATAATATCATCTTATTCTAGAAGATAAAGACAATCTAATCTAAAGAGATAATACTAAAAACAAACCGAGAACTACTAGTAACAAGAACTGGTGATCCAATACAGGCCTGCAGTGGCAGATCGAGAATTTTAAAGTCGTGGGTGCTCACTGATAAAAATTCTGAAAGAAGAAAAAATATAGTTTAGTTGTGGGTGCTTACCGAATATTTATCTAAATATTTTTATAATTGCCTATGCAAATTTTAAATCTTGTCAAAGATAATGGTGTTTGAGCACCTACAAGTGGTCATGTAGATCCGCCACTGCAGGCCTGGGCCCAAAACGGACAATATCATTGGGTTGGGCTGTCACATATGGTATCAGAGTCACTCTGTGTGCAACCTTGAACGGTGGTGGAGCAAACCGTAGCGAAGATTCTAAGTCTCTAAGGGGGGTTGTATGTGACACCCTGGACTGTTACACCCTTCAATTAATTATTAAAATCACATCACATGTCTTCTCTATTCAACCAAGGTGAGAAGCTAATAGTAGCGCGAGTTGATTGCTCAAAGAATCATCCAACTAATAAAATTTGTGGAGTAAAGTCACCCTTCTTTATTTTGTAAGAGAAAAATCATATTTGTATTGTTATGTCACACATGAGATCATATTTCCCGGAACCTCTAATAAATAGTGATTATTCTCTTCTTATAAACCTCTAATATTGTATATTTTTACCAAGAACTAGTGCTGCTTATCAAACGAATATTTACCCTTAACAGTTAGTCTTATCAATTATCGACTTTTAAATGTACTAATTCGCTAACCAATCCGTTCGCCAGCCATTGGGTGGATCATTTTCATCCCACTTGTGATCTTAATTATGAATTGTAACTTGTGAGGGATTGTGTAAGTTTAAGATATTAATTCACTAACCAAATAATATTATAAACCTGACTAGTATTTTACATGATATCTTTATGCAGATAGATACCACAGCTTCATGCTCCTTAAACTTGACCTTAAAAAAGCTTTTGACCATATAGAATGATCATTTGTTCGCCAAGCCCTTCACTATTTCAATTTTCCTTCCGAACTCATAAAACTAATCAGGTCCTGCATTACCACAACCTCTATCTCTATTTTGGTGAATGGCACTCCAACACCTTTTTTTAATCCTTCTAGAGGAATACGGCAAGGTGACCCACTCTCACACATATATTCATCTTATGCATGGAATTACTCACCTGTCATATTGACAGGGTTGTTGACTATCCACTCTGGAAACCAATACAACTCTCAAGAAATGGCCCGGCCATATGCCATATCACATTTGCTATTTGCTGACGATATCATTCTAACAGCTACGGTCTCAACAAAGAGTTGCCATTCCCTTATTGACGTCCTTAATGACTTTAACAATGCCTCTGGTCAAAAAATCAATTTTGACAAATCAAAAAAAATTCTAAAAATTGTATTCAAAGTGATAAGACCTTTGTATTATCTTATTTCCATATGCGTGAAGGTACCACCTTTGGTAAATATTTAGGTTTTCCAATTTTAACTAAACGCCCTTTCAAACGAGACTTTTAATTCCTTATAGAAAACTTTAAATCTCGCTTGGCCGGCTGGAAGACCAATTTCCTCACTATGGAAAGTCACACCACTTTAATAAACTCTACTCTCAATAGTTTACCAAATCACCTCATGCAATATATACATCTGCCTCAATCAGTTGTCAAACAGTTAGAACTCTACCAACATAACTTTCTCTGGGGAACTACTCCAATTTAAAAAAAAATGCATCTCCTAAAATTGAGTAAAGTCACCACCGCTAAAACCCAGGGTGGCCTGGGAATTCAACCGCTAAAACTTAAAAATAAATCCCTTTTTGCGAGCCAAGTTTGGCGTCTTCTTAAAAATCCCACTTCCCTTTGGGCACACACCCTCCTGTCCAAATATTCACTCCTGGGCAAACCCTCATTCCCCTAAATCTTTTATTTGGAATAATCTAAATTGTTGGTTGGCTCAGGATCTTAAATGGACACCAGGTGATGGACAGAGTATTAATTTTTGGATGAACTCCTGGCTTGCTGCCAGCTTGCCCCTTCGCAGTCTCATCTCAAGCCCACTCCCACCTAGTTCTCTCTCTACTCCTGTCAGCAACTATCTCTTCTCACCATTGGGACTTTTCAACTTTACCTTTTGATTTATCCACCAGTATATTAGAGCGTATTCACTCCATCTATATTCCCACTTACCTTCGACCTCATGACTCACTCGCTTGGTCTCTTACACCCCATGGGAACTTCACCACCAAATCCGTTTACCATACACTGTTACCTTCATTTACTGAACCTTCCTTTGCATGGCTCTGGAAATTACCTATTCCCCCTAAACTCAAACATTTCCTCTGGCCTGTTGTCACAATAGACTACCAACAGCCGCTTACTATAATCGCATAGGTTTCGTCTCGCCTACGACATGCACTATTTGTACATCTAGCCCTGAAACTATCCCATATCTCCTTTTTCATTATACCGATGTTGTCCGGATTTGGTTAGAATTCTCGATGCACTCTTCCATCTCTGCACTCAATTACCAATCCTCCTCCTCTATGCTTTGGTTAAAACACTTCATCAATCACACTACTACGCTAAATACACTTCACATTCCAAAGTCTATCGCCATCCCTTTCTGCCTCTGGCACATATGGATAAACAAAAATGCCTCCATATTTTGATCTTACAAAAATTCGCTCTCCAATGCTACTATACTCAAACATGCAGCTGAATATCATTACATCGCCTTACCAAGAAACCCAGCTCCTCCCTCCTCCAATAAAAAATTCAAATGGCACCCCCCTCCATTGAATACTTATAAACTTAATAGTGATGGGGCTGCTAAGTTACTCTCTCACCAAGGGGGCTTCGGAGGTGTCATTCGCGACTCAGCAGGAAATTGGATAATTGGCTATTCAGCGGGCCCATGTCGCGCTTTCTCCAGTATTTACACAAGGGATTTTTACCTATCTATACCATATATCAAATCTTATTACCAAAAATGTTCATAATTTGTTATTTACCCGTGTAGTCCACACTTTTACTACAAATTATATACCAATCCAAAAATAGGTAGATTTTGCCATAAAAAAAAGCCCTAAAATGAAGGCACCAGATTTGCGTGTGATTCTGTCAACATCAAATTCGAATTGCTGCGTAATTCTCTCCTTCCTCAACGGAAAGAGATCTCTCTTCTCTCACTCAACTACAATTCTCAAAAAACGCAAGCTACTGAAGCTCCAGTAATCAAACGGAAAGGAGATTTCTGTTCTTCATCTTCATCTNGCGTTAGCGGGGTTGGGCTCCCCCTGCAGAAATACAACAAACATGGGACAGCCGGGAACGATGACCCTTCTCAAGCCTGAGGCCTAAGTTGGACTTTCTCTTTCTGCTACTTGCCACTCCGAAGTTTAGGATTTTGTTTCGAACCGATGGGATTTTTCGAATGGTAATGAAGCTTGCCATTCTCTTTATTTGTCACCATTACTTGACTTAGAAAGGCGAACATCTGGGCAAGGGAAGGATCTAAAACCGCAATCCCCTTTGGGGGCCAAATACCTCCGATCTCTACCGTAGGTGCCAAAG